AACCTCCCAGTCAAGGTATCCTCCGGCTTCCTCAAAATTAGTCAACAATGAAATCCTGTTCATAAATCGAATCAATATTCAAAAATACAATTTCATATCCATTCCACAACTTTTCCCCTCTTCTCTATTCCAATATGCTTACCCGCACGTAAGATGACTCAACTCGCGTGCTGAAATCGGTGCAAACCTCGTATCTTCAAAAGCACTATCATAGGCCATACGTATCCAACAACCGTCCGTGAACATCCAGCAAATATAAAAGTATTTTCCCAATAAACAGTCAGAAACATTCTTTGCGATTTGGCAGGACGAGATTAAGAAAAGAAAAAGCAACTAAGAGTAAGAAAGAAAGAGGGAAGGAAATTCGTAGTGGGAATCAGGATTTATAGAAACCTGGAGCAATGTAAGGAGCATGAAATAGAAACGAATTGAGGAGGGGAAATACATACAAACGACACAGGATAAATGGATAAAAGAGGGAACATATTTTCTTAAATGAGCAATTACTGACGTAAATCGATATACTTTAAATAATCACCTTGTCAAAGCATATTCTTTTAGTCCAGAATGAAGAGGCAAGGCATCAAAATTGCCAATACAACCGCGAAGACGAATATGGCCGTTACGGGCTTTGTAATTCCAGGTTACGAATAATGGGCTTTTTTGTTCGCATAATAAGAATTATCGACTATGAAGTCAGTAGAACTCAGACTCATTTCATTCCATTAAGAGCGTAAAGTGTTTCCACAGACAAAGCATTCTAATAAGTAGAATGTCTGGTAATGCGTACACATATACTCACTATTCGTCATTGTCGAAATTTGGCTTTATGTGATCCCTTCCTTCAAAGCGAGCGGCAAGAACATCGAAACAATAGGCACAATGATCAATAGTAGCCATGTTTGAGTCAATATATATACGAGTTTTATCTGAAAGCTCTTTCAGAAAAAGAGTCGACTTTAAGGGAGAGGAGACCGCGAAGGAGGTAGAGGAGTGAGTGGAGGACAAGAAAAAGAAAGAGTCTCGAACAGAATCCGTGCCTGTTGCGGTGTGCTTTTGTCATTGGTTGTACTGGCTGGGACCCTTTTTCGAGCTCTTGTGTGACAGTTTTGAAAGAGTCATGTGGTAATAATAAGAGAGAAGGGCAAAGATGTATGCTATGCTAAAATTATCAAACAACGTCTGATTTATTAGCGCTTCAAAGAAATACGTTTTAGACATATACTGTAACATTCTCGATTTCGTTAAATCTTAAATTCCGATTCAATGACGATATTCTCTTGATGTCATCTTCGCTCAGTTCAAAATTAAAGATGTTAATATTTTCCTTCAATCTCTCTGCTTTACTAGTCTTTGGGACGACAGCAATTCCTCGTTGTACGCTCCATCTCAAAAGTATCTACAATAGAGTCGATCGCATTAGGATAACCCAACAATTTACAAAACATCATCGATCAAGCAGTTTGCGTATCTTACCTGACCGGGACTCTTTTTATATTTGCTTGCCAGCTCGGTTATCAGATCATTCGTTAACAGGTTCGGACTATTGCGAGCCTTTTCAGAAAGTTCTACATAGCTATTACCACCAAACGTAGAATATCCGGTTATGGCCATATTTTCTCCTTTGGCGTAGGCAACGAGGTCTTCTTGTGTCAAATACGGATGGTGTTCAATTTGCAGTACCGCTGGTCTGACGCGTGCGTACGTCAGGATTTCGTTAATCAGTCTCTTAGGAAAATTGGATACCCCGATATTCTATAGAGATTGAGTTAAATACATTTGGTTAATACATGCGTCAAGAACATGCTATTGACCTCTGATCACAATCGTTATCTAAGCAGCCGTCGATAAAACTTTTTTGTACAGAGAGTCGTTTTTTTTTTCATCAAATTCTACAATCTTCCTGTACGGCTCTCTAGATCTCATCTAATTTGCATATTGCACGCTTGTTCATTCGGTCTTGATACCTTGACTAATCCCGCATCTACCAATTCTTCCATGGCTTGCCATGTCTCTTGTATCGGCACATGTTCTTGAACAATTTCCTGCTGCTCGGGATTATAAAACCAACCTGCTGGATATCTTTCCTCGAAAGGAACATGTTTAAGAGAAACGGGAAAATGGATCAAATATAGATCCAAGTATGTTAAACCTAAATCTGACAAAGTTCGTTCAAGTGCCGGGCGCACGTGTTGGCGGGCATGACAAGTGTTCCATAACTGGTTGAAGTCGACACAAAATGCGGTAGCGAAAAGAAATAAAAAGTTTGTTAACAGAAAAAGAAATGAAGCGGATAAGCAGATTTCTACAGTAATAAGATCGATCTTACTTTGGACGTGACAAAAATGTCCTGTCATGTGTAGGATAGAATGTAAGCATGAGTAAGCATTTACGCATTAATGACTTTTAGTTTACTTACTTCCCGCTTGACAATGCCCTGGTTTAACGCACTTTGTATTCCTTGTCCTGTCTCTTTCTCATTTCCATAGTCTCCAGCACTATCCTATAACATCAGAAACTATTAGACGGTTCAAAGTCAAATGGTACAATTTGCTGCCATTCTGCGATAAAGTCGTCGACCATCCAC